CTAAAACTATGCTTTGAAATTCCAAAACAAAACTTTTTTTCAAACTGTTGAGTATATAATGTCATAATAATCCACAAATCTTCACACTCAAGCAAACTGAGTGACAGAAAACTTCATTTGTATGAGTGTTTTTGTCTGTAAAGTAATGCCAGACTCAATGAGAACCAGAGCACTTCCACTCTCTCTTTATCTTTTTCTCTTTCTCACACACACACACCCACATAAACAGATGAAATCGAGGGCACTGGGCCGGATGGCATGAGTCTAAAACTATGCTTTGAAATTCCAAAACAAAACTTTTTTTCAAACGGTTGAGTATATAATGTCATAATAATCCACAAATCTTCACACTCAAGCAAACTGAGTGACAGAAAACTTCATTTGTATGAGTATGTTTGAGTTGTTTTTCTGTGAGTAAAGCTTTTACAGGTGCCGATGTGTCTATTTTAAAGACTTTTGATTATAGTCACAGGCAAATACATAAATAATCGGTGTCCTCTGTGGTGTCCTGCAGCCTTAAGTATCTGACCTCTGTGCCCTTTGACCTCAACATGAATCATTTTGTCAGGACAGTTTGTTTGCCATTCATCGCTTTTGTTTTTGTCACATTGGTGGGAGATCTCTCCCACATGTTGGTTCATATGTTATTAATTTAGCATAAAAAGGAGACAAATGCTCCCATTATGCATACACACACAGACACAGGCAAATGTGGAGTGATGGGGCCCTCAGAGTCAGCAGTGTTATTTAGAAGCACGGCATTAGAGCCCCAGCACTAAACAGTTGTTTGACGGCGCCATCTGGTGTTCACTGGACAAAGTCAGTGCATTGAGATGTCAAATCAAGTTACATTTATTTATATAGCACTTTATACAATATTAATGTCAGATTCTGACTGTTTTACATTAGCTTCACAGCAATAAACAGGAAAATAACAGTGTCGCAAGGTTCATCTTTTATGAAACAACTTCAATTTCAATTGTAAAAAAGCTCTACGGAAGCAGAAGATAATAGTGTCATTATTCAGCTCAAGTCAGTTCAATGTTAAATAAGTTTAGTTTTATCAGTGTTGATGTTGCCAAGTTCATCTATTATGAAACAATGTAATGTTGGTGTTCACTGGACAAAGTCAGTGCATTGAGATGTCAAATCAAGTTACATTTATTTATATAGCACTTTATACAATATTAATGTCAGATTCTGACTGTTTTACATTAGCTTCACAGCAATAAACAGGAAAATAACAGTGTCGCAAGGTTCATCTTTTATGAAACAACTTCAATTTCAGTTGTAAAAAAGCTCTACTGATAATAGTGTCATTATTCAGCTCAAGTCAGTTCAATGTTAAATAAGTTTAGTTTTATTTCCTAAGGAAAGGATATGGACCAGAAGACATTGCAATTACTAAATTATATTTAGACAGACTTAAAGAAGTTCCAGATCTATACTTGTGCCCTTATTATTTCAGTTATTTTGCCTTTAATGTAAATAAACATGTGCAAACAATATAGCCTACTTGCTCTTGTGATTTTATTTGGATGCTAATTACATTGTGCAAGCTGTCTCTTTAATACCGCGTGGTTTATATACATGCTGCTGCTGATTGGGCTGACATGTTTGACACACCCACCAAACAAGAGAAAACGCATCTCAAACCCAGTTGCACACCGTTTCCAGGAAACATGTCGTTCAAACCGGAAACCGTTGCAAAACGGTGCACACCGGTTTGAGCTTGAACTTGCCCCCGGCTTATCACCATGGCAAAATGTAGCCTATGCTTTTAATGAATGTAATCAATGAATGTATGATCCACACAAAACAAATGACCCCCTCAAATAAAAACAAAGTAGTTTTATGGGGCCAATCAACGTACATAATGATTTAATAATTAGAATTTAAAATATTTGAACGCATCCGAAACTCAAATCGGATCCGAATTTTCCGCATACGCATATGATCGGAACTCCACGCAGCTCCCGCACTACTCTCCACTGGAAATGAATGACTTCCGGTCTGTCGTTTGTCGCTTGTTGTAGATAATGGAAAGGCGTGTTTTATTTTTTTTACGAGTATACTGTTGGCTTCAAAATTTGGTAAATTGTGAACTTACTCTTTTTATATGGAAAATTCTTTATTCACAAATGTAAATGGCCAGTGAAAAAACCTAAACTGTAAATCACTTTAAAGCCTTAAATCTATACTTTGAATAATTTTTAATTATTTGTACTTGTTTACAGACATTATATATATTTTTTATTGCTTTTCTTATTTAATTTTTATTTATTTTAAGTATTTGTTTTCATTCAGTTTAAATGTTATTGCCCTTATATGTTCTTTGCTCTAAAAACTGCAATAATAATAATAAAAAAAAAAAGATAATGGAAAGGCGGCTTCATGCTATTTCATGCATTCTAAGTTAGTTAAAGAGTTGGATTCTCATGCTAAACATGGCCAAAGTTAAAAAGAAAACCGAGTTGGACGTATGACGGAGTATTTCTGTGTCAAATACACTCCTTCATGGTTCGTATAAGTTTTGGAAAGTTTTTTCGATTATGGCCCTGTATGATGTCATAAAGGACGGAATTCCTTGTATGGGCACTTCTCTTTATTTATTAACGTCTACATCTGCCACAACCCTAAACCTACCCTTACAGATACATTAAATATTGTTGTTCAGCATGAGAAAAAGGACGCAATATTGATGTGCGCATGCGCAGTAAACCCTGGTAGGACAATATGAAATGTCAGGACACCAGAAATCAACCAAGATCATTGTTGACCAAATCAACAATGTCACCAAAGAAGTCTGTTTTTGGTTGTGAGGGAAAGATAACCTTGTTCAGCCTCCCAAAGAACCCAGCGTTAAAGGGATAGTTCACCCAAAAATGAAAATTACACCATGATTTACTCACCCTCAAGCCATAGGTGTATATGACTTGCTTCTTTCAGACGAATACAATTGGAGTTATATTTAAAAATGTCCAGGCTCTTCCAAGCTTTGTAATGGCAATGAATGGTTGATATTCAATAGTCCAGTAGAAGTCCAATAAACTAAACAAGTTGACAGCATCTCTCTTTTATACTTTCCCAATCCGGCTGTTTGAAATGCTGAAATCTCGAAGGATTTTGAGCAGATACAATTTTAATATCTGGAGCTGAGAGTTCTTCCCAGTCTATCAAGGAGGAAGAAAAACATCTACTGAACTGTGTGTGTAGCCTGGTGGAGAGCAGAGTAGGCTACATTGTTGCAATATGCACAAGTACAATGGAATTCTTAAACATGCTGATCCTTAGTGGCATTCACAAATCACCAGACACCACAGCCATACAACATACAACTAGTAGCTACATGGCAGACAACACGAAGCAGCAGACAGCAGATATAAAGTATTAAAGTGGTGATGTAACAGAAGTACCAGCAGATCTTTTCTTTCAAATAGTGACGTATATCCAAGTGAAACGGATAATCGAAAAAGAATAAAATGTAAAGCACTTGGTTCTAGTTATCAGTTGTTGATAGGATGGAAGTCAAGTCAAGTCAAGTCTGCTTTATTGTCAATTCTTCCACATGTACAGCACATACACACAGAGAATTGAAATTGCGTTACTCTCAGACCCTTGGTGCATACAGATAACATAAATACAGATAGGTACAGATTAAATACAAAATACAAAATACAACTATACAAATATACAAATAAGGTAAAATGTAAAAAAAAATATATATAAAGCACAAGGCATATGGCAGATAGAGATCTGAATGTGAGTTTGCAGCTGATTGTAATAAAGGGGCTGATTTTATGTGGATGAAATGATTGGAGAAGTCCAGCAGTATACGTCCCCAATATAAAATAATTGTTAACTGAAATAAAATAAAGTATTAAAAATTTACTTATTTTAGCTAGTTGCCAAAGCAATAACATTACATTTAGTTTAACTTGTTGCACTAAAACTGAAATAGTAATAAAATCATATAGATGTATAAAAAAAATTACAAAAACAAAATTACTAAAATTTTAACTAAAAAAGGAAATACAAAAATAAAAACTAATTTAAAATATTAAAAAACAAAAAATAGATATATGATAAATATAGGCCTTTCTCAATGATGCTAAAATAACACTGCCCCTGAGTGAGTTAAAGAAACAGGATTCAGGCTGGGAAATTGTCCCTGGCCCCATAGTTTAATATTGGGAACAAGGGGACCCACCCTCCCTTATACATGTTGTCTCAGGCCCTGGGAATTTTGTCTAGCCTATCTATCTACTTATCCAATGACACAATATGGTAGGCCTATGGAAACCCTATGGAAAATTGTTTATAAATAAGTAGGAACCCTGACTGGGTTACTTGTATATAAAACTGGTGGGCCCCTGGATCCTACGTTTTACATGACGTGACGTGTGGCCAAGTATGGTGACCCATACTCGGAATTAGTGCTCTGCATTTACCCATCCAAAGTGCACACACACACAGCAGTGAACACACACACCATGAACACACACCCGGAGCAGTGGGCAGCCATTTATGCTGCGGCGCCCGGGGAGCAGTTGGGGGTTCGGTGCCTTGCTCAAGGGCACCTCAGTCGTGGTATTGAAGGTGGGAGAGAGTGCTGTACATTCACTCCCCTCACCTACAATCCCTGCCGGTACGAGACTCAAACCCACAACCTTTGGGTTATGAGTCCGACTCTCTAACCATTAGGCCACAACTTCCCTACACCACAAGCTATAGACTAGCCAAAAAATATCTAACACATATTTGTAATTAAGTGTACAAGATCATTCAGATCATAAATATAAACTGCATAACGTGTATAATATTCTACATAATTAGTGCACAAAAACGTGCCCATATCACGTTAACATCGCCATTCAATACTCGCGCTCGCTCCCGGCTACAGAGCCAGCCCGGAGCTCGTGCACTGTGAATCACGTCTTACGTCAGAGTCACACTTGCAGCGCGCGTGAGAGTACGGTAGCAGCTCGCGCTCTGTGGGGTCGAGAGGCTGTTTGTTTGTAGGCGCGGGCCAAACGCTGAACGCACGCTTTTCCAACACATCAGCTCAAAGCAGAGGAAGACCACCCGCCTGCTTTAGCGTTATGAGCAAACAAACTACCTGTTTTAGCACTTTGATATCGTAGGCGTTTATGTAGAAGCTCAAGTGAAACGCTGTGAGCAAGGTGCGGATGAAGAGGATGCTGGAAAGAGCGACGGAACATCACAAACATCATGATGGAGTCTCACTTCAGTACAGCATCACTGCTGTTCCGCAGCTTTAGCGCTTTAAATCTCACGAAAGGATATTTATAATGCTGGATATCGACCCTTAAAAAAGGAATATACGAGTATCTGTTTTCACACTGTTTACCAACCCGTTCATTTCTTTGTGTTGTTAGTAAACTGTTTTAATCAATGCTCTGGTTGCTTTCTAGCAGTTTAACTAAACAGTTACAGTGTGTAGTATATGATGTAGGCCTAGTGTATAGAATGAGTCGGCATAGTAATCAAGGCGTGAGCTGTTTTAAATAAGAGTTAGAAGTTGACCGTGAACTCTTGAGCTTTGACATTGACATCTACATCATGGATAGACGCGGCTGATTTTCTTCGAACAGGTGAGTCACATATAACGTTAACGCTAATCTAATGTTTTTGTGTCCACGTACAGAGATGGTATTCCCGTAAGGGGATCGATTCTGATTCCGTTTCATAGTCTTTATCGGTTCATTAACGATTCATTTAAGACTTTTGAGGAAGAACTATCTGGGGAAAAAATGCAGTTCGTATCGCATTTACTGCTGTCAGCAATAACCAAATTTAGCAGACCATATTAAGTAAGTGTTAATTAAACGTTTGATTCATTCATTTAAAATGCCATTGATCAGTGAGAGAGTCAGTGATTCCTCTGAGTTCTGACTGATTGACTTATTATTGTGACTAAAAAGTGGAACTTTGAGGTTTTTGCTTTGCTTATGGTGTTTGTTCAGAAATCAGAGTATATTTATCATGTTTTTGATTTGCTAAAAGAACAAAGTGTAATTACCCAAATTATTATACAAAGCATACTATCAGTACAATTCATTATACTACAACAAAACATCACAAAATGATCAGTTAAATAAAAAGTGTGGATATCGGCACAAGGTATTGCCAAACTGATTATCTGTTTTTATAGAATAGCAGTATTAGGAAACATCAACATAGTTTAGGATGGTGTTCTGTCTACATCTGCGAAATAATTAATCATAATTAGTTATGGTTAATTATTCATATTTCCCCATGAGTTAAATTCGCTACAAAAGCATGCTAGTGGAACCGAAAGACATCCAATATTATTATTTTTTTAAATATTAGAACCAGATCTTGGTTCCCAGCTCTCACATAAAACTCTATTTACAGATAGATCTGACTGGTTGGAACATTTTTGTTCAAATACTATGTTTTAAATGCAGAATGTAAGAACTAAAGGGTCATATCTGCTGTTGTTATGCATATTTCTTTGCGTTCACGGGGTGTGGTCGAAATTGTATTATGCATGTCTTTGTACATAAATGTGAAATGTCCATAATGTTTATGTAATTGAACAACCTCAGTTTGTATGGTTTTCCAAATTTACTCAGCTCAGTTCAGATGTTGTTCATGCTAAAGTTGAACTGCACTGCTATTTTGAGAACAGAGATGACCTTTGCCCCCTAGACTACAACCGCTTTTTCTACCGGTGTCCATCCAAGCAGCAGACAGAACAGAGATAACATTTTACGCAACACAGCCGTTAGGATAGTGTGACTATATGGATTTTTACATATAGTTATTCATTGGACCATATCAAATATGTGTATTTAGAACAACTTACGTAATTCAAAAATGCACTGAGTTATGTAGTACATCACAAATGCGTGTGCATTCATGTTAACTGAACAGTGCATTTAATGCAACTGTCTGGAATGGATCTGATATTTTAAGGGAAAATTGATGGTGGATCCTAGGTTTTAGAGCATCTTCACTTCTTGAAAGACAAACTTGTACATTTTGCTTTCATTTTCTAGAAGCGTGTCATTTGTAGAATGCTAAATGCTCTTAATTGATTCCAACGAGCACATGTGACCCTGTCACCTGTGTATATCTGGTCCATGTGATGAAATCCAAAGGCCATCAAGGGAAAAAGGGGGAGGCCTAGATAGACTTTGATGTCTGACTTAATAACTTCCGCTTTGGTCTTGTCTTTCAGTAACCAGCCCTGGAAATAACCAGAGATTATAGTAATGCATTCAAAAGTTTTTTTTTTCAAAACCTTAAATACATACCTCTTAGGTTAAGCCTTTATTAAAGTTATTTACTGTATATTTCAATGCATGCTAGCACAAGGTCGGATTCTCATACACTATATCTAGAAAGAATACAGTGATTATGGCTTAATTTACACATTTGGATCAAGACTGAATCATGTTAGTAAAGAACATTTATCTGTCATCTTGTCATTTGGCACCAGGGTGGGGACACACCATCCACTACACTTGTTATTCTTTCTGTTTATGAAGATTGCATAGCTGTCAGTCAGTGCTGATGTTAATGGCCATGAACTGTCAGAGATGCAGACGAGACTGTGTTAAGCCAAAAACATCAACACACCCCCCTCCCCAAAACTAAAAGTCCTCACTTAGCACTTGTGTTGACAGACTATGTGTGTCCTTGACAGGTGCAAGGATCTCTTGTTTATTGGTTTGGTTTACATGGGTGTTGAATGTTCCAGCAGATGTCAGGCATGTGTATGTGTCTGTTCACCATTTGAATGCCTCGATCAAACTATAACCTGATAAAATTCTTCCTGTAGCTGCTTTGTCCTCATGACTGGTTTAGCGTCAAATATCTCTGAGGGGTGTTAATTAACAGCAGTGGCTGTTAGGTGATCATCCTGAGGCCTGTCATTTCGTTACAGTGAGTCTAATGTGGTATAATGTGAAGTATCCAGTAGGGCTGCACGATAAATCGAAATGGAATCGAGATCGCGATTCGACAGAAGCTGCGATTGTTATATGTATCTTTCAGTGAAGCACGGTTCTGTGATCAGCAGTAAATCTCCATCCAAAGGCCAGAGGGCGCTCTCGCGCTGAAACTCCAAATACGCCTCGCAGAAGAAACCCAGAAAATGCCTATCGCTGCAGCTGAATAAACAGAAGATTCAACTGCTTTCATTGATTCAACGTGACTAATAAACACACGACTACGGCAATATACGGTTTATCGGAGTTCTTTATTTTAATGAAAATTATAATATATTTATAATGCAATGCCTTTGTCACTTCTTAAATACTATGAAATATGTTGCATGCCTTATTCTGTGTAAGAAGCCACATCTCACAGAAGGATTTATTTCAAACACTCGACTGATGTTAAGTGAGTTTGGAGTAAAAATATGTTATTAAATGTGGTATTTTCACATGCTTTCAGATGGAGCAGCATTTACTTCACAGAGCCGTAGTTCACTGAGAAGCTATGCAAACAGCTGTCATTATCACAAACGATTTCTTCGATTTCATTAATTTTGCGAAATTTTTATTTTTTATTTTATTTTTTTCGTAACTTGTCAGTGAACTACGGCTATGTGTAGTAAATTCTGCTCCATCTGAAAGCACGTGATGATGATTTCCTGCTGATTACAGAACCGGCATTTCTATCAAAATGCACATGACAGTCGCATCCGATTAATCGTGCAGCCCTAGTATCCAGGCAGATAAATGTCTGTCCTCAGCGCCAGACAGCTATTCGGTGATAACTTTTAGTTGTTGAGTTCTGAATGTGTAACTGTACACTTACGTCATTGATATGGGATGCACGGATATTAAAATTCGTACCTGCTAAGCTGATAATTATTTACATGCTATGGCCTATAACTCATAGATGGCAACTTTACAACAAAAACGTTTTTTAATTTTGAAAGTCAAAATTTCGACTTTATACATACTGTACATCACAGCATTATGATGTACAGTATGAAAAATGGATATTCATTTTGAGACTTTAATTTTGAAGGTTAGATGTAATAAGAGTTATTAACCAAATTAGCATATTAGAATAACTTCTGAAGGAACATGTGACACTGAAGCCTGGAGTAATGATGCTGAAAATTCATTCAAAGTTTTGGTAGTGGCTGTTATGACCGCAGTTTTGCCACCCAGAAACTCATTGCTCACGTTGTATTGTAGACAATATCAGCTCTCTTCTGTGTATCAGTGTGTGGCCTTCCTGTGAGGCTGATACATATTTTTCAAAGACTTTTTTGATTGTTTTGGGTGCCTGGAGTGTAAGATCATCCTTGTTCATGTTCTGTCTTTCTGACCCTCATATTGTGTGTGTATTTTTGTGTTTGTATATATTTTTGCTGATGTGTTCAGCTGTGTAAACACATGCGTCTCTCTGCAGTACATCTGTAGCACACACACTTCTCCGAATGAACAAGACTACATCTCTATGTACAAACATCATCCTAAAGATCTTCTAAAGGCCAGATGCCATTTTATGATTATATTCACAATATAATAATCTGATAAGTGAGAACTTCACTTAATTCTTATTGACATTAACTGGCATTAGACTAATTACAGAGTTCCCGTATAAAACCGAAACGAACCTGTGATGATTCAGCTTGTTTGAATTTACTGTCGGTATTTGCTGGTGTGACATCATGGTTGGAGATACATTCAAATGTAATTGATGGAGCCAAAGGCAACATAGACAGGAAGTCACAGTACCTCTGAACATAGTCATTGCTATCACAATCTAAAGTATTAGAAATGCTTATTTTGTTGAAATGTTAATGTTTTATTTTATTCCGATGCTTTAAAACAGATGTAGACCTGGATTTGTGTGTTGAGACAGTAAAAGTGACAGAAAGCTCTCTAAGGTTTTAAGCAAGGTGCTTAAAGTGTCAAAGTGAGAGCTAGCAGGATAGCAGCTAATCGCAGCAGCTTTATGTGACTGACTCTCTGTGGATGTGTGTTTGTTTAAAAAAAAAATCTGTTTCTATTGGGTTTTGTAGTTGTGGATGTGTAGTAATGTTTATTTAGGCTCTCTGTGATACAATAACTACATCAGCGTAGCATCTGTTCTTCTGTTTAGTCAAGGGTGACATTCAAATGGACTGTTTGCATATTAGGTTTGGCCTGTCTGGAGTCCACATGAAGCAAACTGGGAAAGAAGAGAAATTACTATTGTTTGAAAAAATATGGTTTACTCCCTAATCCTAAAACACTGTCTTAAATGATTTATTTGATCATAATCTCAATAATACTGTTAAATTCTTCGTTGACTATTGTCCTGCTACAGTTTAATCTCACAGTCGCAAATGATCACAAACTCATGAATTCATTGGAAATCACAAAATTTATAATCATTGTCATTATGGATATCATATTTTGTGTGAATTATATAGCATAGTTGTTTTGTGAAGAGCTGAGTCATTTAACATGGCCGCCGTGAGTAATACATCTCTTTGTCATTGTGTTTTATTTAAGCAGCTCCTTGTCCTTATGGACCAAGTCATGGGGAATAACGCATAGAACAACACTGAGTGGCTTGGAAAGAATGAGAAACCTGCCGAGTCATCTGACTGAAAACT